ATGTATTACAAAGTATAAAGGGACATATATGGAAAAAAAATGGTTTGTTTGTATACAAGACTTTCACAAACCAAGATGCACCTTCAAAAAGAATAGAAATCCAAAGGAAACAGTCTAAGTAGAAAGAAGGTGAGACTATGCCAAAATATATCTGCGAAAGAAAAGGGATAATTTTGCATCAAGACATCAGTGATAAGTAATTATATTATCTGGAAATGTCAACCCAGAAGAAAACCAGGAAATCTACATATACTATTGTGGAATAATAAAGAAATTGTGTTGAAAGTACTTTAAAAAAACTTAAATACCTTCTTTGGATTAGTATTCACTGCAGGACATTGTGTTAGAGGTACAAGCTTGACAGCTGCTTCTTAGAACTGATGTTGAAGCAGCATTGTTGCAGACTATTGTGCCAAAAGAGATGGGATTGGAACAAAGTCTTAAATTTAGTTGTAATAAGTAACCAAACGCATATGGCATACATTGTGATTCTGAGAGAATTTAAGAATGCAGTCAAAGAATTTTAATGCAAAATATGAAATATGTCATTAATATCAGCAATTCCTTTATAGTATGCATGGTAGAAGGTGGGGGGGCTGTTTGTTTGGTTTTGCAGGTATTGCATTTTCTGCATATTTTTGCATTCTAACCTTTCCCATTTTATTTCAGTATCAGAAAATTAGTTACAAACAGAACCAGTTAACACAAATTAAGTATGGGAATGAATATTTCACATGCATGGTAATGTGGGGCCCAATCTCTGAAAGGGTTCGGATACATGCTTAAAATTAAACTTGTGCATAGCTGTTATCAAGATGACATTGCTACTATATGATATAACTATAAATGATGTAATAGAACAGAAGACCAGTATGCTGACTCCAATATATGAAATTACTCAGTGTAATTGAGATAAGGATATTGCAAATAAATGTGAGGTCCAGAAAGTAATGTTGGGGGCTGGGGGTGGAGGAGCTATATGAATTCAATGATCATAAAAGAAAGGCAAGCATACAAAATAGAGTCTGGTAGTTTTGAAAAGAACTGTAGCCAATCAGGAGCAGTGTGGTGGGAAGCTCTATGAAAATATCTGCTCAGAATTTAATGACAGTCAGAAAATCAAACAAAATTCAGCAGTAATAAAAAGAAATAGAGATTAATCCTAAAAATGTGAAAATCATTATATAGTTTAAAGATATACACATGTATTGAATAGACAAACCTCATTTAAAGGATTTTAAGAGAAACAGTAGTTGCAGGACAGGAAATGGGTGGGTGAATAGAAATATTTCCATACAAGAAAACTGATTTATAAAAATTATATTTGACTACTCCATTGCACAGGAAACATTCTGAAAATGAACACAACAGAACTTTAAAAAGAATTATAACACAAAGCCCTTGGTGGCTTTATTAATTGATAATTAGGGAAAATCAGTTAAATAGAAATGTGGGTTTTTAAAAAAACTAGTATATTTATGCAATGCAATAGACTGCAGAATTCTATGAAATCCTATAGCACCAGGTAACACAAAGGAATGTGACATTACATTTACATGGGTATCATAATATTTGCTATTATGTTTTTATAACTATAATAAATAAGATAGAGTTTTCATTCTTTAGGGCTTGTGCTATGCATTAGACTAAGAAGAAATTTGAGCTATAGACATGTTCTCGCATATTATAGCATGAATTGCCTTCTTTCAGGGTCCTACATCATTCTTGGAAATATTCTGATCTTTGTCAGAAACAAGATATTGAACTAGATTAAGTATTATTTTAATCAAGTGCAAGTATTCCTGTTTTTCTTGAATTAAAAACAACTGAGAGAGCAGTTAATGGTGACAACTCTTCACAGTGATTTTTTTATGTTCTGTATGTACTTGATCTTACTTTTGTACTTCATAATTTGTTTTCCTCATTTTTACTAAAAAAAAAAAAAATCACTGCTTTCTAATCCAAGGACCTCTTATGTTTTATTTTAGCTATTTTGCATTTCCACAGTTCATGTAGGAGTCTTGCTCCCATATTAGATTAGAGAAGATTATTTTCTAATTACACACTATAATCTAGCACAAACACATTTATAACCGGAAAAGTGTTCAGTAAACTGAAGTTACTTCCCATATTGGAAATGGCACTGCTCCATTCCTCTGTTTCCTTATCAAGTATTTTCATTATTTTACATTTACATGCAAGAGATATTCAAAGGCATGCAAGATCAGCTGTCACAGTATTGTGGTGCTGGCTTCAAAGTTTGGTTTATGGAATAGTTAAAAAATTTTCACTAGTAAGTTTTTTTGTACGTATTTTAATTAAATTGGTTTTGAATCAGTAAAATTAAGGGCTATTCTGAATGCTACTAATGATGCTCAATTTAATAATTAGGGTAAATACAGTAGCAGAATGTGTCTGAAGTCACCTATTGTATATTTGATGCTATTGTTCTTGCTTACAGATAGTTTTCTATTACCATATGTATGGAGCTCACATTGGATCATTGATTGTCTACCAGAGGACTATGGCAAATCATGAAAAAATTCTACTTAATCTTACTGGAAACCAGGGAAATTTCTGGCAGCGCAAGGTACTGATCCTGGCTGGAGGTGGAGATGAAGATTTCCAAGTTGTCTTTGAAGGGATAGCTGGAAAAGGTCCCAAAGATGGCATAGCACTTGATGACCTCACATTTTCCAGGGAGTGCTTACCATCCCAGGAGTTTTTACCAGCAGAACCCACAACACTGCCTCCAACAGGTATGTTCCTGCTATGGGCAAACAGTCTATCTACTTCTGGAAAGAATGTATAGCAGCATTACTTTCATTTCTTTGCCTTTCCTTTAAAAGAGAAATAGAATACATAACTTGCTAAAGACATGTTGAAACTAACAAGCTTTTAAGTAGCTCTTTGAAATTCTGATAAAATTATTTTATGAAATAATTGAGTACTGAGTCAACACTTGTGAACCTGCAAGACTTATTGTCCAGCCATGTATACTTAGACAATATCCTGCTTAATTCAGTGGGATTTATTATCAATAGTTGTAAAATACTGTTATTGTAAAATAGGGAACTAAGAGTGGGACAGAGCCACTATGGATAGATTGGTCAGCAGGCTTTAACACTTTTTGGCTAGTGGGAATTCCTACTGGTACTGTTTAGGCACCATACCAATCTTCCTGTGCGGTGTGGTGCCAGCATTGGTGCAATTATTTGCACCATCCTTACTTACTGCACAAGAGAAATGAGACCTGGAAAAATTTTACCAAAAATCATAAAGTTCTGATGGGGATGGTTCCCAATAACCCCAAGGTACGAGCTGCTCCTGAAAGTACTGATGTTATTCATTACTAATATTTGCTGGGACACAAATGATAAAGGAGAAACTCTTTCTGACAGAACAGGACAAATCTTTTTCCTTCTTCCACATTTATCACCAGAGCTACTGAAATGTAAACCCCCAAAGTGGAATTTAGGAGATGCATTTTGTTCCTCAGCCTACTACAAATTTCCTGCATGGCTGCGGCAAGTCATTTTATCTCACTTCTCTGTCTTTCTGATCAATAAAACAAAGTTAATATTTCCCAATGTCAAGGACTACTGGGAGAATGGATCATTAATTTATGTGAGCTGCTTTGCTTTGTTACTGCTGCTAATGAGTAGCCTTCCCCTTTAGGATATCATTAAGCACTGCTCAGGCACTGGGAAATAACACTGATGAGACTACATCAAACCTAAGAAATTACACTGTATTTTGTGCACAAGATAAGCAGGAAAGATATGGGCAATGTTTTCCAGATTCTTTCTGATAAGTTGCCAGTTACAGTACATAGTATTGGCTTCCTACTTCTGTCAAAACAGTCACAGAAATTTATTGCAAATGAGATTGGTATTTTAAAGTTCAGCTTTATATGAATGTTACCCCAAGAGGAACACTAGCTGAGATTTCTGACTCTTTATTTCCAATGTTTTCAGACTCTGTCCTCTTAATGGTAGATGCAAGTCCCTGTGGCAATGTTAGAAACTTTAAAAGCTTTGGTTTTGATAGTAAAGGATGTTCCAAAATACTTTTATGATCTATATAATAAAAAAGCTACTAAAATCTCAGGAAAAAGCCACCGGAGACAGATTTCTTGGTGTAGCTCATCTAAGATGCACTTTGTGAACTTCGTAGATTCACAATACTTTGAGATAACGGTCTAAATTCATACTTATAGTAAGCCATCTTTTCTATATCAACAATTTTCACTTGTCCTGGATAAGAGTTTACATTAGCCACTGAGGGTTCCAACTTAGAGCTACTATTTAGCAGTGATATCTGTTTGGATCATTGCTTGAAATGTGGGCTTAGAAACGTGAGTATGAAATCTACTCCTGCCTACAGAAATGTTCTGAACAGTGGCAAAATGTGTGCTGAAAAGTGCTCTGTGATGTAACTTTATAAACTAGAGCCAGCTAGAATGACTGTTATGATCAGCTGCAAAAATCTGGACTCCTAAGACTTCTCTGCTTATATGCAGAGACAAAGGAGAGTTTAACCAAAAGTGAAACACTTATATCCATTGCTCAAGTTTTTTAAAGTTTCTGAGGATGAAGAACATTATGCAGCAGAAATCCGTTCCTTTCTTGTCTCCAGCTAGAGAATATTTGCTAAGAAAGTTGAAATGTTTTCTCTCTAAGAGAGAGATTCATAGCTTTGAGGTCTATTCTCATAACACGACAGTGCAGAATTGATACTGATGCATATTTTTCTAGCTGGTTAATATGCTTCCTGTACTACATTTGGACACGTTTCCTTTTCTCAGGACTTGCAAGGAGTGTTTCCTTCATTTTAGGTACTCAAAATAGCACAGTGAATAGGAACTGTCATAATGTTTTCCTCCCCTTCTCTTCACCCAAATGAAGTTTGGTTATTCAGCATTCTTTCTCACAGTTTGAAGAGCTTACTTTGTAATTTTTATGACATACCAATCTACAGTTGGCTTTTTGCAAACTGAACAAACCACATTAAAAAAAAATCTGATACAATTCCTTTTTAATATTTTCTTTTTAAATCAGAATTCATTGTAATGCACACATCAAGAGAGATCCTTCTGAGTCTTGTGAGCAATATCACTGTGTAACACAAGTATACTAAGGTGGTCTGCGTTTGTTATTTCTGCACATAGAGTGCTATGGCAATGGATACGTCTAAGGACTAAATAGAGTAGAGTTATTAAATGTTCCTATCAGCGACAGACACTCTCACTGTTCAGAAGAATTGTTCCCTGACTCTATGTAAACTCTTTGAAGTTCTAAACATTTAAAAAAAAAAAAAAAAGTTCTAGGCTTTTCTTTTTTTTTTTTTTCCTTCCAGACAAACATGCGGTAATACTTAAAGGCTGAAAGTGAGCACTGGACAACTAGACAAAATAGTTTTTTCTGAAAGTTAGCATTGTCATTTCTGTAGACTGACAGCATGCTGACAGCATGTCCTTATGATGCTGCTTAGCAACAACAATGAAGTGGAAAGCCACTGAAAGCCGCTTAAAATGCTGCACCTGAGAAACAATAAACATCATTTTAGGCTGGTGCTTATCAACCCTTCACTGTATGAATAGTGATGTAGAGGGGAATATTGGGTTTTGCTCATGCCCTGCAACGGTACTCCGTGTAGGAAGATACAAATACAGTTTTGTTCTAACAGTGGGATTTATGCCTCTTGCTGTGTCTCTGCAGTGTGGTCAGATTCTCGAGTTAGACTCTGCCCTGTGTAATGGGCTGCCTGTATCCACATCAGCCCAGGAACAGCCCTTGGCTACACTGAACCTATTTTGTATATGGTTTTCCCAACAGAAGGGATTTAACAGTTTTCAAAGTCATGGCCTTTCCACACCCTCTTTTTCTTCACCTGTTCGCAGATTGTCTGACTGTGCCCACAAAATTTGAGACCATTGGCATAAGTCATATTTTATACTTAAGTTTTTCTACAAAAGAGATATCACAGATTGACAACAACTTCCATGATCTCCAAATTTGATCATCCTCGCTCTCCTTTCCCTCCCTTCCCTCCTGAAGTGTTGTTAACGGCTATAAAAATGGCAGATCCCTCCATCAGAGTTTCTGCTCATGTCTCTGTACCACTTATCTGGGAATACAACAGCTGCCGAGGGCTGCCTGATCAGATTAGCAGGCTACAATAGAGAAAAGTTATTCCCAGAGACAAGAGAACTGGTGGCTGTTGACCTCTGCTTTATAAAGAAGACAGTTGTTATTTCCAACAAATTCAAAGAGATTCACTGAAGTGTTGCACATGTCTTTAAGAACATAGGAATATTCACAGGAGATCACATCAAGGTCCATTTCACTTGATATCCTTGTCTCCAATGCTGTCAATGAGATGCTGAGCAAGAACCAAAAAAAGGACAGGCGTATATGATGCTTCCTCCTAATGTTCCTAATATTTCCTTTTTGGGAGACCTTTTGAGCCAAATGTAGTTTTGCATATGTAGTAAACCTTAATATATTTGCCTTCTGTAGAGATTCTAGTTTCACTGGGAACACATTCAAAAGTTTAGCCACCTCCTCATTTTTGGCAGCAAGTTGTACAGGTCTGCCACTTGTTGAGAAGGCAACTCTGTTTTCACCCTGTCCCCTGTTTAATAATGTCTTTTACTGAAAAGGGTGGTGAACAACAGACAAACCCACCTACTCCATATTGATCTCTATGCAATCATCCTTAAGCAACATTACACACTGAAGGAGCTCCAACTTATTTTATTATTTAGTTATGGAAGCTATTCCATATGTCTTCCTTTCTCAGACTTTTTAAAAAATCTGCTATAATCTTTTGACATTATAAAATCAGGTCTGTGTAGAGTATTTAGGAAATGAGTGAACAGTGGAATGATACTATAGCAAAAGGATTATTTTTCTCCTTGCTCTCTTTCCTGGTAAACTCTAAAGTTTTATTTGCTTTGACCTTTTTGAGCATTGGGCCGATGTGTTCCTGCAGCTATCCGCAGTACTCTGCTGTGTCACTCCTTAGTAGTGGTAGTGATTGTAGCTCATCACCCATGTGCGAAGATGGGCTGTGTTGTTCTGTGTTACTCAATTAACATTGCATTTCATTGCCAGTCACTCAGGATGCAATTTGTTTACTTAACTGTTTAAGTTCTATTTTAGTTGTATGAGATACCTGACACACTTGCTTGCGGCTGGCAGCTATGTTACAGGGATTACAGGAAAGTCTGATGTCAGGAAGGCTGTGCAGTGCATAACAAGCACTGGATATTGCCTCTTTAAGCAACTTCATTTTTACAAAATACTTTTCCTATTAGTCATAGTTATTCCTAGCTCATATCACCCTGAATAACTTCATATCACTAGCAGAGTTTCTTAACTCATTACTCATGCACTTTCCTGGTCTTTTATGAGTAAACGTTAAAGAATACAGCCTTGCTACATTTTTTTGGTTCATTGGTTGGTTTTTTGTTTGGTTTGTTTTGGTTTTACCAGACTGTTTTTTGAATCACTTTAACACAAATGTCTAATTCACAAAGGGAAAAAACCCTAATTATAGAATTCAGAAACATAGCTGAAATTAAAATAAACAAACACAAAGGAAGACAATAGTCAAGAAATCAGATTTGCCAAAATCTCTTCATTTGAAATATTACCCCAAACTTTTAAGCGTACCCTAAAGACCAAAGCATATTGCTTATATTATTCTTTCACACATATAATTAGATTTATAAAAATTTACAGACACATAAATA